AGACCACGGCAGAAGCACTCATGGCGTGGCCTGTCAGATTCTAATTAAATCTGCAAATTCTGCTAAATACCTTGTCACAAGGACACAGAAAAGGAAGGAAGTTCATATAATTAATCTAAATGGTTTCAAAACTTGCAATTTAAATGCAATATGCACAGAAATAAAGAATGGGAAAGAGTGAATACAATCAAGGGAAGCAACTTTCTGGCAGGTGTATCACAAATTAGCTTTGTACCCTCTCCAAGTAGCACTCTGCCCCTGCCCAGTATGGTGCTGCCTATCCCCTCCATGATCTGCCATGGCCTGACCACCTCTGGCCTAGATTGGTTTGAAAAAGCCTCGTCCAATACTCTTGTTTCAGTGGAATGTAATTTATATGACCAGGAAATCACACGTTTCAATTTTATAGGCTGGTTTCTGAGCTGCTATTCCTAAATGTAGTTCCAAAACCAAGCTCATTCTTGGCCATGAAAGTGCAGACTACAATCTGTTGAGCGATTATTCTGGGTTTTGCTGTTCTATGTAACTTTAACTAATACCAGGTTTACTATAGCCAGCAGATATGCACATTAATAGAATTATAGAAAATGAACGTGGGAAGGGACCTCAGGAGGTCACATCTAGTCCAGCCCCCTTCTCAAAGCAGGACCAGCCCCAACTACATCATCCCAGACAAGGATTTGTTGAGCCGGGTCTTAAAAACCTCCAAGGATGGAGAGTCCACCACCTCTCTGGGTAACTTGTTTCAGTGCTTTATAACCCTCCTAGTATTTTTGCTAAAATCCAACCTAAACTTCCCTTGCGGCAACTTGAGACTGTTGCTTCTTTTTCTGCACCTCCCCACTTCTCCTTTAGGGAAGGTCCATACATGTCTTTGGAAATTTAAAGCCTTGAAATTTAGGCATCTTGTTCTTTTTGCATCTTTAAGAACCACAACTGAAGTGAAGTTGGGGACTTGCTGTGCCTGGAAGAGCCTAAGATCATCAACTTATTGTGACATTTACTTACTTTTTATAATATATATAATACATGCATATTACAGATCTGGGAGATGACATCATTGCAGAATGTACTCAAGTGACCCAAGCTCCAATTACCCCGTCTCAAGTTAGCTAAAACTGAGTGAAAACAGCGACACTGAAAGTACTGCTTGAGCTGCCCGGAGGGGTTGTGTTAGTCGCTGTTGAGCTGTACCAACTCCAACTTTCCAGCTAGGTCCAGTCCCAGAGCAGCCGAAAGAACCAGTATCATCCAGGGTTTTTCTGCGCCATCAGGACTTGAATTAATAGCACTGCTGGGATTATAACTCAAGTTAACTAGGAAGTGAAGACAAGCTCTTATTCTCATTATTGAATCAGACACAAAAGAATAGTTTGCAATGCCTCAATATAAAAATCACACTAATAGTGTTTTAGAGTTAGTGGAGATAATTCCAATATCTCCTGTGGTTTCCCTGTGCCACTCTTTCCATTTTCAATTATTATATTTAAGTTATTAGATTTTCAAGTTTCCTTGACTCTCTTCCTGAAACCGCATTAGAAACCTCAGTCAATTATTTTAACACATCAAATACCCAGAACCATTTTCCCTCATAAGAGTGAGATAATTATCTTCAATAATTGCATATGCTCTCCACTATGTTTGTACCGAGTTTGCATAATGTATAAAACATTGGTGGTGATGGGTCATTGAATTTTACTATTAAACTCTTCAAGGTCTGATTTATTATAAATTGTTTGTCACATTTCCCTTTTGGAAAAGCCATTATTGTTAAGCAGACAATGATCTTTCATTGTCAAGTGCTAGAAAAGATAATGATTTGCTAAATCCATATTACCCAACCATCACATTTATGCAAAACAGCTGCTGAAGCAGATAACAAATCCAAAAAAGGATAAAACATGGAAAGTGCAAACATCACATATTTTTCAAAAACATTAAACCTAAGTAAGAGAAATTGTCCAGAATACTAACAGATTATACTTCACGACTGACCCTGAAGTTGAGCTCATATTTAACCTTCATTGAACTAGTATCTGTAATGACAAATAGCTGCAAAGGGATAAAAACCCATGAAGCATATGTGTTTGAGTCATGTTTGGCTCTTATCCTACACAGCTTAGATGCATTTAACTTTAAACACTATGATTAGTCTCAGGGAGAACAACTCAAGAGTATTTAAAATGATGTGTATGCAAAAACCATTGCAAATTTGGGGCTGGTGGGGCAGCAAGTTTTATGGGCCTGTGTTCACTGGAAGCATCATTTTATATACTGAGATAAAACAGAACCAAAAAGCTGTAGACAGCCTTTGAATTGCTGACTCTGACAAACAGCCTAGAAGATGTATTTTGGTGTGATCAAGAGGCAATCCAATTCCATAACAACAAGCAGTGGGACCATCATACTGTAACCCTGGATTTTCTGACCTTTAAGAACAGACCACAATCATCTACACTTTAAGCAAAATTTATTTTCCCTTCATGTAACCCATAATCCTATTTGGCCATTACTAGAAAATTATCTATTCCTGTACAAGTGGCCCTTGAGTTCAATTGGGATTTGTTAGAATACGTCTGTAACAAACAAAGCTTCTTTAATGTTTAGCATACGCCACTTGTTATTATACAACAAATAAACACAGCACATGATTTTCAAAGGAGACCGCATGTAAACCAAAATCCGATCTCTCCCAAGCACCTACAGGTGCTAAATTCTGCAAGCAGTGCTATCGAAATCAACAGGACTAGTCCTGTAAGTGAAGAGAAGCATGTGCCTAAAATGTTCAAAGTATCAGGCCTGCAGACTTGACTGGGAGATCCACTGACTTTGAACCCCGAGTCCTAAAGGCCTATATAAATACAGACCTAATATTAAGCATGTGTGTAAGGTTTCCCAAACAGGGACTTTTCTGAGGGCCAGTGGACACTGTCTGGTGCACTCTGCTTGGTGTCCCCCCTTCACTCCCGTCCCTGTTTTATCCTTTATTTGTCCCACAAATTCAGCCTCTGCATACCCAATACCCAGGGGGGGTAACTGTTGTTTTGTGGCTGTAAGGCCCATATTCCTCTTATGCATCAAACAGACCTGAATAGGGCTGAATGAGGAATGAAAGTCAAGCCACATGGGCAGATGCCTGCACCCATGCGGAGCCCTTCTCTTTACAATGGGGCTTATTAGGATGACCAGGATTTTGTCCCATAAATGAATTGTGGAACCAAGCGTCAGGATTTCACCATTAGGGGTTTCCCCCTGTGGGAAATGTTATTGAGGGGGTTTTCCTCTTGTTCATCTCCTGTCCCAGCTCCCATGCCAGGGGAGCAAAATGCCACGATCCAAAGTAAGGTTTGGCAGTGCTTGTTTTTTTTTCCAACCTTACCAGAGATGCACGCAAACCTCTTCCCTACGGCTATGAACGCCCTTGTGCTGCGGCATGGTGTTGCAACCATGGCACGGCCATGCGGGAGGAACAAAGACTCGTGGCAGAGCACCCCTGGGCCACAGCATCACGACGCCGACCCCGTGAACCCTGGGGCCATTGGCTGTTGCATCTAGTCCGACCCCTGCCAGAGCCAGGGTCATCCCAGACCAAACCACCCTCCATTCCGCAAGCAGCTCATCACCAGGGGTCCTGGTTTCTCCCGATTTAAAAAAATTCCCAACTTTCGGTTAAAAAACCCCCGACCCAAATCCCTTTTTTCCCGTGATTTAAATGAAACAACACTAATGCACAGACGGAGAGAGAGAGAGGTATAGTGGCGTTTCATTTTAATCATGGAAAAATGTGGATTTGGGGTTAAAATGAAACACTGCTATCTATCTATATCTCTGTGTTAGTGGTGTATTTCACTTAAATTGCAGAAAAATGGCAATTTGGGGTTAAAATGAAACACCTCTATATCCATATATCTAGCTATCTATATAGATATATCTATGGATATGCATGTGTTAGTGGTGCTTCACTTAAATCATGGCAAAACGTGGATTTGGGGTTAAAATGAAACACTGCTATCTACCTATCTCTATATATCTCTGTGTTAGTGGTGTTTCACTTAAATTGCAGAAAAAAGGTGATTTGGGGTTAAAATGAAACACCTCTATATCCATATCCCCAGCTATCTATATAGATATATCTATAAATAAGCGTGTTAGTGGCGTTTCACTTAAATCTTGCTGCTGTTTCATTTAAATCACGGGAAAAAATGTGGATTTAGGGTTGTTTTTTAACCGAAAAGCGGGTTTGCTTTTTTTTTTAACTGGACTCCTGGGTCATCCCAAAACCGCCCTCGCCCTCCCCCCGCACAGGAAGCTGTGACTGGGGGCGACGTCACGCGCTGACATCACACCCAGCCCCCGCGCGCTCACGTCGCGCGCGGACAGCAGGGTCGACACCGCCCGAGGGAGCAAGAGAGATCTGGGGACAGACGGTGGGAATTGGGGTGTGGAAGGGAAGGGAACAGACCTTATCCGGCCGCCACCGCCCGCCCTCCTGCCTCTGCCGCCCGGAAACGCCGATACTTCCGGGTGCGCGAGCACTTCCGGGGCAGGGGGCGGGCCCGTCTGCGCCGCCGTCTCGGTGGTGCGGGGCCTCCGGGGGGGCGGCGGAGACGTGGCGGGGCCGGCGCAGTGGTGAGGATGCGGGAGGGCTTGGGGGGTAGCAAAG